GCTTTCCTACTGGTTAATAATGTGATTATGCACTAAGCACACTTTGCAGTGTTCTGGTGTGCTCCCATTTATGCCCTTTACACAGAGGTATCCATTACTTTTTATACGATTTGACAAATTTAATGACCAGGAGTTGGGTCAAATAGATTGGCCAACAGTGCAATCTGTACAATTCTGCCTACAGATTGTATAGATAGTTTTGGCAGTTTGATACTTCTCTTTTCTTTTTGTGGTACTACGCAGAAAACCTGTATTGCTACCACACAAACCGCAAACTGCTCAAAAAACAGCATTTAGCTCTTAAACTTCCAGTAAATAGGTGGGTTACGGTTATCATCAATGAATCAATCAAAAGAGAAGCAGCAAATAAAAACAAACTGAGATGGGTTACTGCATGTTCATGTCCTATGCAGTACAAATGTAACTATGTCTGTCCCAGGGGTGAGGTAATATCTTTTATTGGACCAACTTCTGTTGGTCAGAGCGAAAGCTTGTCTCTCTCTCATCAACAAAAGTTGGTCCAATAAAAGACATTACCTCACCCACCTTGTCTCTCTAATGTTCATGTCCTGGCAATTTAAGTTAGGCATAAGGTGTTCACATTGAGGAATTCAAAAGGAAATAAAAGTCATGCAAATATATTGTATATCTGCAAAGATTTGCATAAGTTAAGCTTTTGCCATCTTTGTGAAATTGAAAAATAAGCAGAAGTTAGTTTCAAGTGATTATTCCAACAAGGCAAGAGGCAGCAGTCATCTGCAGAGGCTGGCTGGAAGCATGAAAATCATTTAAAGTGAATGCCAGTCTTTAAGTAGTTCTACAGTAGTTTAAAGCTTTAAGGAGAAACAGGCATAGTCTGACACCAAAGTGGTTTTTATGTTCCCATCTTTATTCTGTCAGTGGTTTATTGCCACATGCACCAACACGTTCACATGCAAAAATTCCCAGCCAGGCAATCCATAAGAAAAATCCAGGGAAGAATGTGTACACTGACTTATTTACACACAACTGATTAAGATGCTGTGGTTTTGCGCTCCTGGCACATTGTGCTGTAACAAGTTGTAGCAGTGGAATAAGAGTAAGCTGGAAACACTCTATGCAACACCTGGGAAAGGAGCAACTAACTCTACATATTAAAATGTTGAGGTTTGTTTATACCTACATGTAGCTTTCAAGACAAGGTATTAGTTTGCTGATTTAAATCTATCCTTGGGGACAAAGTATATTTCTAACTAGAAGAATAAAAACCTAGGAAATTGATGTTACTGGTGGCTTTATCCATCTAAAGTGAGAATTCACTGTGGTGGACAGAATTTAATCTGTAAAACCACATGGTGAATCCCTACCAAAGAATGTTGTTAGCTGCTCTCCAGTACCCTGATCTTGCAGAGACTTAAGTGCATACTTAGTTTTTACAGGAAAAGGGGCTAAGTTGCCAGAGCTTTGAAGAGATGCACTAAATATATTGCACTCTCTTTGACAGCCCTTGAGAAGAGGACTGGGGCAGGGGCATTCTCATTATTAGCACCCAAGGTGATCTACCATGTACTCACTGTGTAAATGCCCTAAGAAAGGTGGTGAAGAAAACAGTTGTCAAAGTAGCTACAAATATGAGAAATTTTCAATCCCTAAAATAATTAAAAGCTTAAATCTAAAAAGTTATTTTTAAAAAAGGACCAAAGCTCTTTTGTTGATGCATAATGCATGTTTGACAGGCAGAGCAAAGAGTCATGAAAACTAATTTATGTTTCAGACAGATGAGGATTGGCTGGGTGAGATTTGATGTAGCTAAGTCTACTGCAACAAGCGAAAGAGCTTGAGCCTAGAAAGCACATACAGGTGGAAGGGGCTTCAGGTCCCCCTCTAATTTCATACTCATTAATTGTAGTAACACTTATCTATCCAGAGTAACTCTAAAAAGTCAGGGTATCTTGTGTACACGTTTTAAGTGTATGACCGCAGCACATCCTTCAAATGGCCATGCCTCAAGACTCCTATTCCCAGCTGGAGTACAAGGAACTTTACTGTGAAGTGACAAGTTCAGGGGACTAGCCTGATAAAAAAAAAATCAGTATTCCAAATTTAGTTTTTAACTCTCCTATTGTGCCTATGTATTACAAGGATTCTCCAAACATATCTGCTGCAATAGTGATTGCAAATGGAACAAATAAAATAATACTTACGTGTTACAGAGTACTATTCATGACACAAGACACTATGTCAAGCTCACAGTTTATGTCAAGCCCTAAGACTACTATATCAAATCAGCGTCTCTTGCACAAGTAAATTTACTGCATGTAGGGTTGGATGCCTCATCACATCTCCCAGGAATCCAGTCAGCACTTGGCTGCGTACGTCCATGCAGCTGTAGATGACTGCTGATGGACTTAAGTCATTGCTCAGCTCTGAGACTAGGGACTCTACTCCTCATTTGGAGATAAAACTCCCAACAAAGGACCAGAGTCTGATCTCGGTTACACCAGTTTAAATCCAAAAGCCAGAACTTCACTGGATTTAGTGAGATCAGATGTGGCCTGAAGTCTACTCTCTGCGCAGGATAGGGCTTATAATGATGGCTTATGTTGCTAAGGTTATTGTTTTAACACAGCCTCAGATGATTAGCAATGAAATCTTTCTGCCATCAGTACCATTAGCAATAATTCTGACAGAAAAACAAGTCCCAAAAAGCTCCAGAGACCTTTTTCACAGATAGATATCTAACTTACTATACTCAAACCTAACCCCAAATCCTGAAAGCAAATATCCTCCTTCTCGAATTATCCACCGTTGTAATTTATTTAGATCAGCACCACACTTTATATTTTATTGATAAATGTTTTCAGCCTCTTACAAATATGGCTGATGAAACTGGTGATGTGCAGCAGCTCTAGAAATCCTTATTATGTGCCCATTCACTTAAGCCTACTGGGAATAGACAAGTACAGAGCGGGAGTAGCTTGAGGACTCAGCTTTCAGCCTCACTGCTCTACAGAGAAGAGTTCAATTTAAGAAAACACTGACTTCAGCAGCAGCTCTTGAAACAATCCTTCCTTCCTAATTTTTTCAGGGATTACACAGCCTCACAGCGCACAAGACAGATGGAATGTTTTTACCCAGGCTCTTACTAGATTAGTCAAAGGATAGAGGCCACTTTAAAAAAAAATCACACATGTATGAGAACTTTTTAGCTACTATTGTCAATCTGAGGTGACTAACCAGATTGGTAAAAAATTGTTTCTAGATTTTTCAGTCTGTTTTGTGCATTCAACAGCACTGTGTGTTGTGCCCTGTTTCAACACAAATGAAACAGTTTCAGTTTGTGCCCTGTGTGATCACTTGCCCTTTTATGTATGCATCTGCCAAACAACATTAATAATAAAAGGAGAGAGGATTTTTTATAAAAATAATAAAATAAGGAAAATAAAATAATAAAAGCACCAAAAGTGTCTGGACAACTCTGGCAGGGGCATAGTGCCGACCAACTGCACCAACTTATTTTCAAACTGACTAGATTTCAATTGACAGTATCCTTTAAATACAAGGGAAAATGCAGTATTTGGGCTGCTGAAAATTGCATCCAATATTCTAATTACTATTTTTAAAAAAGTATTCTAAGCATCCAATTTTCATTTGTGTTGAGCCAGGGAACTAGACTTCATACAAGAAGATTACTTACACTCATGAATACCACATTTGAAAACCAATCATACTTGACCAATGTGTACTAAAATACTAATTCTATTTATTTTTTTGTGTGCCATTTCCTTATTTCTGAGAATTGCATGCAGGTGCTCAGACACTGCAATCACAGGGGCATATAATTACTTAGGATCTGATTAAATTAATGAGACGACTATTTTCCCTGAACAATTTCATTAACAGTACCCTTTGGCATAGATTTATCTGAGAGGCAGCATGGTCCAACAGATAGAGTCAGGAGGGTTGGAAGTCAGGAGACTCTTCTATTTCCAGAGAGCTTAATGACCTGCTGTGATGCTTTGGGCAAGTCACTTCACCTTTGTGCCTCAGTTTTCCCATGTGTAAAATGGGGATATTGATATTTACCCTCCTATTTGAGATCCTCTGAGATCTATCGATGGAAACTGTCACAGAGCCAAGTACTTTCTCACAGCCATTCTTTTATGCACAGCAGATTCAGAGATGCATAGGCACTAGAGCTGGCAAAACAGCTTTGTTTGAAAAATTGACACAAAACTGCCTCTAAGAAAAAAAATGTGTCCCTGCCAAATTTGTTTTTTGAAATTTTCCAGTTTAACAAAAATGGAAAAATTTCTGCAAAAGATTGAAATGTTTCAAACAATTTTATTTTTGTGTGTGGAAAATACTTCACATTTTTGGACCAGCTGGAATATGCACTTTACAAACAAGATTTGGGTAATTTTAAAAATGTCATCCCATTAGGAAACTGGTAGAAATAGTCTTTTAGATCTGAAGGGAAAGGAAATTTGGTATTTTTATAGTCCCTTGTTCACATTTATCTTCAGAGTTTGGTATAAAAGAAAACTGACGTTCTTTACGCAGAGGAGACTGAGTTCTTTTCTAGCAGGACAGGTCAGAAGTGTGACACATCGGCAGCCCTATGAGGTGAAAGACTGCACGACAGAACTACGTGTGGCACAAGCAAGGAAGAGATTCACTTTTCACGAGTACTAAAAATTTAATTTTTTCTTGTTGAGTGTCTTGGATAGTTGCTTATTTAATTCCTCAATAATTGTTTCAGCAAGGCAATTTCTAGCAGCAGAGTTTTCCATGGCTGGAGAGGAAGGAGAGGAGAGAACCGAACCCCCCCCCCAAAACAAGCCCCTCCCCCCAAAACAGACATCTAGTAAGATTTTTTTTTCCCCATTTAAACAAGTGCTTTGGGAGACTTGCCCACTTTTGTCTACAAAGAATTTTACCTAGTCATGCAGTTTTGTTATTTCTACAAAACTTGTCATAAATTTTACTATGCATACAAATTATATGCATGAATTACTTACCTAACATTTCTGACTTTAATCTTTCATTCCGCTCTTCAATCTGTCTAGGTAATCGCTGAAAGAGTAGAGAGAAGACCAGATTCAGAAGGATGCTTTTGGCAATCTTGTCAGATAAACGTATATACTGTATATTGCATACAAATACCCAGGACATAGGCCCACTACTTATGAGCTAAAAGAAATGCAGATGTTAAACAAAGATGCTTTCATCTTGTTTAGAAACCTAACGTCTGCCCTATTAGATGGGGGAAAAGTGCAGTGTTCATTTATAAATCATTTTTTATTTCTATGTTAAGGCAGTCAGATGGTGCCTATTTGTTTTCTAGTATTTTAATTGAAAAGCAAATAGAATTAAAAAAAAAAAAGAATAAAAATCTATTTTTAGCTACATCTCCAGCGTGGCATTTATTAGTCTTAATAAAAAAGACTGTAAAAAGCCAAGTGCAAGCAGGCACCGTGTTTAAGTTATGAACACAAACATATTAGGTGTGTGTGTGTGTGTGTGTGTGTGTGTGTGTGTGTGTGAGGGGAGATTGCTGGGAATCTGGGTCATTTGCATGAGATTGTAGAGAACTTCCATTTTATGAAACATTAGAAAATTTCAGATGCTGCTTTTGCCAATGTTCTTTAAATCTGCTATTTATGCACCTCAGGATCTCGTTTGAATGAAGAAGCACCTTGTTATGCAAGACATGACACAACCAAATCTGAGAGATGACAGAATGTTAGAGATCAAGGACTCTATCCTGCATGTTCCTCCATGGTGGAGGGGAACTCCAGCACCCATGTGAAGCTCCACTGTGCAGGATCTGGGTCCTAGTTACATACTCTTCTTACCACTGGTGCAATCCTCAACAATAAAAGCGTGCAAGTTTATTTTAAAACAAGTATATTAGACAATTTTACACACAGTCTTAAATGTCTCTAACAGTTAAGGATTTCTTTAAATTATGCCTAAAACAGTTGCTAAGCGATCAAGTCAGCTCACACCCTTATAGTGCATTCTACAATGAGCTCTTGCCAGATGAATACCATGAAAATATTAATGAGAAGTTTGTTGCATTGTAAGTGTATACAGTATTTCACCAAGACAGAATTAAGGGATTCACTTTACCACTTTGGTAAAAAAAACGAGGAACAGTCTAATGTACATTGATTCATAGAACCATCACTGTTGGATACATTTTAATTTTGTTATAACAATGTAGTATGGAATACATCCATTCATTGTACATCACATATATATTCCAAGGGTTTTTTCTTGATTTTTTCTGTTGGGCTCATCAGCTTATAACTAAGCATTTGAGGGAGTAATTCTATGCATTGAAGAACTACAATCACAACTCTTAATGCTAGCAGCTCTTCTTGCTGCAGACAGTCCTATGAAGGAGCAGAGATAGAATAGCTCCAGCAGTAGCCTCCACAGATGCATAAATAACAATCACTGCTTATGATAACAGGGGAGGAATTCACTTCCCACCTGCTCCTGGAACTCTAGAGATAACCTTTATACATATAATTCACTTTTCAGGGGGGATAAGTGAAAACAGCCTCTTCCCTCAAGTATAAGCAGGAGTTGGGAGTGAATGAACGGGGTATTCAGAGGTAGTGGAATCTCAGTTTCAGCAAAGGGTGGAGATACCAGGTAGGAGGGAGGGTACAGAGTGTTCCAGATTCCCCTAACTATAGGTAGTGGGTTCCACGCATAGTTGTAATATGTCATTAGCAATTCCCTCACCTAGGTAAGCACAGTAGATCCCTAATACTAGCTTTGACATAGACTTAGTTATTAAGAATCCATATGACATAATGATTCTGCAGCCACAGAGATGAGTGCACAAGAACATCTACAGTAACAAAAGTTGCTATTTATACGCTATTATAAAATTATCAGAACATGTTTAAAAGACCCAGACCTCTCCAGTTAGAACCTGGCACAGCACATTTGAAATGTCGGAGAATTTTGTGTTTTGTTGGTCTGGATTATTTCTATACACCACCACCATAAAAAACTCCGAAAATAGGGTTACAGTTTCAAAATGCTGGATTTTAAATTATTCTTTTCTTGTAACAGTTTGCTTCTGAAGTTGGATCAAGAACTAGAACTGAAGTTTGCTTCCTTTGTTACATTCTGTAACTTAAAGCCTTTCTGAGCCATTATATGTAGGTTTGCTAGCCTGACATTCTTTTTATCTCTCTATATATTCTATATAAATAAATATTTATTTATAACAAAGAAAGAAGCTCCTGTAGAGAGAGAGAGACACTTCTAAAGATTTCTTTGCAGACTGGTAAAGACATGCGATTACAAATAGCATTGGATTGTTTGTTTTGTTTTTGTTTGTTTTGCTTTTAAAAGAATGTCTTTGAAAAGTCTAGCTGCCTTTACTGTGCTGTATTAGAGGCTTGGCAGGTATGTGGGGGCAAAGATGCCCCTCTGAGTTTCCACCATTACTGCACACATGGAAGAGTGTCTGGCTATGCCAGAGCTTCAATACTAATGAGAAAAAAATAGGCTAAAAAAAAATCAGAAAAACTGCAGCAGAGAGAAGTCTTTTAGGGTATGGAATAGACTCATTTTCTAGAAGCCCCATTGCTCATTTACAGCTAGATCAGACAGTTGTGCAGGATAATGAACCAAAAACTAGCCAGAAAGGCTTTCCAACAGATATCCTCCAGGGGGGTGGCTCCCACAGAGGAATGCAAAAACCTAAACTCCCTTCCCTCCCCTCAATGATACTGATCCCCACTGAACTAGTTATTTCTGCTAAAGTGAGTAGCAGTGTTAGTGAAAGACCCAATGTTAACATTAAAGTGTGCCACTGCAGTGGTGTGTAGACAAGCCCTCAGTATCTTGCAGTACTGCAAATTGGAATAAAGTAAGATAGGTGACAGAACAGGGTATGTAGGCATCACTTAATTTCTCTTTAATTCCTAACTACAAAAATAAGGATAATTATCCAACATTTAAAGCACTTTTGAAAGCTACACATCAAAGAGACCACTGTGCCCATCTCTGACCAGTACAAGGTTGTGAGTGTCTCATGTGTCCAGGTGTTGAGTGTCTCATGCAGTCAGGTTCTATGGGCATTAGGTACATTTTCACTGGAAAGGGTCTTTTGTGATTCTGAAACTTACATTAGATTGGTTTTGCAGGCAATACATTAGTAATGAGAACCAATTTCTATGGCCTAGTTTACACTTAAAAGTGTTACGGGCATAGTTATGGTGGTTAGGAGTTTTATTTTTTTTTCAAGTCACCCCCCTACCTGACATAGCTATTCCAGCAAAAGCCCCACTGTAGATGCAGTTATACCAACAAGAGGCGGTCCTTGTGGCAGTATAGCTTATTTTATTCAGGGAACTGGTTTAAGCAATACCGGCAAAAGAATTCTTTAGCTAGTATAAAATTGCATCACCGCTAGTTGCTAAACCAGCAAACCCTTTCTAGTGTAGGCAAGGCCTATGACCATTTAAATAAGAGAATTTTCAACCAGCCAAAAAGCCTTCTTTCTTTTTTTGGTAACATACTGTTAAATTTAGCATTAATGATGGCCAATGGTTCACCAACCCTGGTCTGTGGAACACTTGTGGTGGTCTATTGACACCTGGCTAGTTATATGGCTCTTCTCTGTTTTCAGCTGAGAAACTGCATCTTGATTCATTAGGAGGGATTTTGACAGTCCCACATGACACACACATAAGCAAACTAGGGAAATGCAGCCTAGATAAAATTACTATCAATGTGGGTTCACTACTCAGAGTAGTTCATCAATGGTTTGCTGCCAAACTGTGTGGGTGTATCTACTGGTATCCCATAATGATCAGTCCTGGGTCCAGGTCATTAATGACTTGGATAATGGAGTGGAGAGAGTGCTTATAAAGTTTGCAGATGAAAACCAAGATGGGAGGGGTTGCAGGCACTGTGAAGGAATGGATTAGAATTCAGAACGACCTTGACAAGGTGGAGAACTGGTCTGAAATAAACTACAGACAAATGAAAAACCAAATATACACCTAGCCAGTTATTCCCCATTTTGTAGTTAGTAATACTGCTGAAGAGGATATGGGGGTTATAGAGGATTACAAATTGAATATGAGTCAGCAATGTGAAGCAGTTGTAAAAGGCTATATGATTCTGGAGTGTATTTAACAGGAGTGGGTCCTGTAAAACACAGGAGGTAATTGTCCAGCTCTACTTGGCACAGGTCAGGCCTCAGCTAGAGTACTGTATCCAATTCTGGGTGACTTACTTTAGGAAAGATGCGGACAAATTGGAGACAGTCCCGAGAAGAGCAACAAAAGCAATAAAAGGTTTAGGAAAGCTAATGAAGCTGGGCATGTTTAGTATCAAGAAAAGAAGACTGAGTCTGGGACCTAATAATAGTCTCAAACAGGTTAAGGTCTGTTATGAACAGGACTGTGATCAGTTCTCCATGTCCACTGAACGTTGGACAAGTAGCAATGGGCTTAATCTGCAGCAAGAAAGATTTATATTAGAAAGTTTTTCCTAATATTTATCTATAAGGGTGGTTAAGCTCTGGACGCAGCTGCCAAGAGATTGTGTGAAATCACCATCATTGGAAGTTTTTAAGGAGAGGTTGGACAAACACCTGTCAGGGATGGTTTCGGTTTACTTGGTCCTGCCTCATCACAGGGGGCTGGACTTGATGACTTCTTGAGGTCTCTTCCACCCCTACATTTCTATGATTCTGTCATTAAGATGCATTTAGATACACCTTATATGCTTTCTTAATATTACTTTCCCATATAATCAACTGCAGTAGGTATCACACAGAGAGGTTACACAATTTTGAAGGGGAAGTGGTCTACAGAGTCTTGAATGGAAGAAGCGTCCATGAAACATTCTACAGAGATGTGGTGCACTATATCAGAGTTTGAGAAACTTTGCTATCGCACATTAAGTTTTTGCACAGATTATGTTTTATAATAAGCTGTCTTACCAGGAAACCAGAACTGCAGTATGTACCAGACATTAAATCAGTGAAATGCAGACACTTTAGAGAAATAAAATACCCCAATATCCCTACATTG